TAATACAATTATACCAGAAAAAAAAACAAAGCTAGGGAAGCCAAAGTTTTTATATCCTTGCATTTTGCAATTGAATTCTTGAAATCGATATTTTATTAGATAATTCTTTCTATACCCTTGCAGTAAAGCTTCATCATAGCTCAGTCAAAAGTTCAAATAATAATATTACTCATACGCAGTGTTGTCATTTCTCAGAACGTATTTTTATATATGCATTTTTTTTAAACAAATCGAAGCTTAAAAAACTCATAACTAAGCCCAAAAGGATTTAATTTTAATTCGGAAAGCTCTCCTATGCCATTTTTTATTAAGGTTAATAAATCTGCATACTCAATTTCAAATTTAAAAAATGCTACTTTTTTTGACAATTCTGACGATGTGTACCCTTATCTCTTTTGAAAATTTGGAAAAATGTATCTTTTTACTGGACATGTCTAAATCGATTCTCTTGTTGATTCTGATCAAGAATATATATGGATTATAGGGTCGAGAATGACTCCTTCACTGAGTTTCAAGCTTCTGACTGAAATTATAATACCCTGCAAAGGTATGTAGAAAAACAATAATAGAATTGTTTTATAATTTTCGAGAAATTTCTTTTAAACACTTTTGAAATCTGTTAATATTATAGTTAATTATACTTCTAATCATATTTAAATTTTAGAAATTTTCCAAATAATTTACAATGCCAGGGACATTGCACTTTTCGTCTTTTTCCATTCGCTTGTTTTCAATAAGGTTAAATGCTTTTGTGGGTCGACTTTTCATCGTGTGGCTTATGGCTTATTGCTTGTCTCAGTCTGTGTGTGTGTGTGTGTGTGTGTGCTTCTGTGTGTGTTTTTATTCGTGTTGGTGTATATCTCTATGTGTGTGGCCATTGCCGCAGCGCTTGATTAGATTTTGCACTCACTTTCAACCACTTTCCCATACCCCACATCCCCCACTTTTCTCTCTCTCTGTGTGTGTGTGGATAGGTGAAAATAACCGCAGCCACAACAACAGCAACATCAGCCTAGAGAGAGAGAGAGAGAGGGGGGGAGAGAGAGAGAGAGAGAGGGGCGAGTTCAGCTTGTAGAGTTACATTATTTTTGCGAAAATTTGTTAAATATGCCAAACACGCAGCGATGCATGCAAAGTGGCAAAAGCACCACCAGGTGAAGAGAGAGAGAGGGGAGTGTGGGGAGAGGTGTGTGTGTGTGTGTGTGAGTTTCTAGTGGGCAAGTGGGTGGTTCTGGGTGGCATAGGCGGCGGCGGCACAGGTGCTATATTCGAGGCGAGCCCATCCATACGTGGCATTGCGTACGCTTTGGCTCATATTTGTGACATAAATAAGCTAAGCCAAAAGCGGGATGCCAGGAAGAGGGGGAAATGAGTGGGAGTGGGAGTGGGAGGGTTGCACGGGGAAAGCACACACACACACTCACACACATTTGGCTGGAAATGGCGGCAAATATGACCCGTTTTTATGCACACTGCGCTTGGTTAAATACTCTGGGATTTATGCTAGGGGGTATGATGAGCTACGAATTTAATTAGAAATCTTTATAAATATGTTCCCAGCTAAGTTGCAGAAAGCTATTTTTGTATGTATGTATAATGAGAAAATAGTAATTACAAGTTTTTAATCAAATACAGACAGAAATCTATTTTAAATTACTTACTAAGAAATCCCTTGAATAAGCCTTCATAATTGAAATCAACGATTTTTTTGCCTAGAAATTCAAGGGAAATTATTATTTTAGGGTCAAAACATCAGATATAAAATATATAATATATTTAAAAAATTAATAATAAGAATCATAATATAATACTGAATAGTTTAGCAAATTTAGATTTGACAGGACTCTTTAATTAACATAATTGAGGCCAGATTATTTACATATGATTTTAGTGGGTTTTAACCAAATTAGTAAAAAATAGAATATTAAGAAATCGAAAGTATTATAATTAGTTTTTTAAAAAAAGAGGATTACCATTTAATTTTGCTACTAATAACATAGGAACCTAAAGTTTTCATAGGAATTTCCCTTACACTCTTCCCAACATATTTTATTTATAAATCTAATTTGGAATGGGTATACCTCGGGTCGGTTTTAACCCATATTTAGCATAACCCACTCATTACAGAATCCAGGATCCAAAGGAAAAGGGAGTGAGAGGACTCTCCTAAAGGAGAGTGTGGAAAAGGAAGAGTTGAGAACGTCGATGTCATGGCTCGTTCGCTCTGCATTTGGTTTCGGTTTTGGGGTTCCCAGAATTCTACCCCTTGGGTTCGGTGTTCCCCGGTTTGAGAGTGTGTGGGGTTCACGTTAAGAGGAGGGGGTTCGAGTGGTCGCTCGGTTAAGTTGATTGCATGCAAAATGGCCAGCGAAGGAAGGATAAAAAAATAAAGTCCTTCCAGCTGTGTGTGAGTGTGTGTGTCCTGTGTGTATATATAGGTTGCAAAAGTGGCCCGCACTTTGGCCGCACACACCACCCCCTTTCTGCTTTATGTTTTCAAATTAAAGTCGAAAGCGTGGCAACACTTAATGTGCGCCACTAGAAGCAGATTAGTTGCATTACCCCCTGAAGCTGGCTTGACTCGTCCATTTTCCATCCTGGCCAGCGAGTTGAAGGAAGGAAGGCAGGAAGAAAAGTATGGAGAAGTGGCAACTAAGCCTTGGTTCGCTCTGTATTAATAATTTAAAACTAAAGCTCTTTCTCTTCGGGCAAAGATTTAAAGATAAAGTTTTCTTGGAAGAATTAAACTTTAAATTGAATGCCGCTTAAGGAGGAGGATTTAGGAATGGAATTTACTTATCTTAAAGAGTGAACGGTTGGGATGTATTTTATTAAACCATAAAAATCTAGCTAAATTTAAATGTATTGAATTTGTAAAGCAGAGAACTTTTCTATAGATCAATTTATAATAATTAATAGAAATACCTCTTGAATTTGTATCTTTGACTAATGAGGTACAGCACCAAGTCAAGTTTTGTTTATTTTTACTTTTCGTTGGAAAAAAGCGATTAAATTATGGAATTGCTGGGGGTTGTGAGTGTAAGGTTTTCGGAATGGGTTCTTTGGAGTATTGGCATTCCGCCATGCCACCAAGCATCGAATTCAATGAATTTTAAAATTCCTCTTCCTCGATGGCAATGGTGCGACTGCTGCTGCTGCTGCTGCTGGACTGTGCGCAATTTCTGCTAGGATTATGATAATATAGCTCAAGTGCAGTTAGTTGCTGTCGCTGCTGCAGTTGCACTTGCCGTTTGCGATAATCATAATAATAATAATGGTGCTCCAGAGCTGATCCAGCTGCAGCTTCTGCTCCTGCTCCTCCTTCTGCTGCTCCATCATTATTGTGTGGGTTTTGCATTTGATAAGGTTTCTGTGATGATGATGATGATGATGATGATGATAATGATAATGATGATGCAGCATCAGCAACGGAATGGCAATTGAATTGCAAAGAGATAGGAGAGGGATTCCCCAACGAATAAGTGGAAGTGGGGTTAAAGCCGCATTGCAGTACGCGTTGATGCCTCGAAATGTGGCAAGTGGCAGGACCAAAAGAAGGAGGGGAAAAAAAACCCGCCAAAGCATTAGAATTCACTGCCATTAAGCTGAATTTCCACACTTCTCTGTGGTTACAATCGTCTATCGACTCCTCTTAATAATAATAATAATCGCTTTAAATACCCGCCATGAGTTTCGCTGTGAAATTGCAAAGTCAATGACCAGAATGGCTACTAAAAATCAATTTCTACCCCATAAGCAGCTTAATTATAATTTTAATTGATTTCCAAAAACAGATTTTCAAACGGGGAGGGGACGAAGTGTGGGCGTTTCATAAATTTTGCAACGGCAAATTGCCGGCTGTAAAACATAATTGCCATTCAGTAAAAATGTCCTGTTTATTGAAGCGATAAAATAATAATTTATAACAAAAGCTAAATTTGGTAGTATCGTAGTTTAAATTTGCAAAAACTAATTTGGTTCCTACTGGTGGAGTTTTATGGACAAATATTGATTTTGTTGATAAATCTGGTAGTTAATTAGGTTCACTAAACTTGGTAAACAATTAATTTTAATCAAGGGTATTGCTTAACTTGGAAACTATCTTAAATGTATAGGATTTTATATATATAATTTAAGCAACTAATATTGAATTTAGATTCTATACAAACTCTTGCTAAATTCACTCTATTTATTACAATCCTAAAAACGTGTGAAAAGCGTTTATAGTAAACATAAAAACCCCTTGTAAAATTTAAATGAATTTCACTCTCTATTTATTATTTTTGTCAAATTGCACAAAATTTAATCCGCTTTAAGTAATCACCGGCACTTTAAATGCATTTAAGCCAATTGATTCGCAATTTGGTTAGTTAAAAGATAGAAAAACCCAACCGACCAACCGCCGCACAAAACAACAAGTGCAACATTGCATCCTCAGCCAATTGCACATTCGATAACAATTAATTTGTGCAGTGCGCATTTTGCGTGCTTGTGCAAATAAATTAGTTGCCTAAACCCTCTTTACCCCTTTACAAACTTGGAGCCCTCTTTTCTATGGAAAGTGTGCAAATATTTGGCGAAATGTTAAATGCCTGCCAATTAGTTATCCAGAGAGAGAGTCGGGACTGCGAGACAGTTTTAATTTATGTAAAATTAATTGAGCATTGGCAAATGCGGGGAATTAACTAAGCCTGGCTGAGCACAGACCGGACCAGTTACCAGTTACCAGTTATAACTACAACCTGGCCCTAACCCACTTGGGTGTGGCTGGCTGGCACTTTTCAATGCCAAAACCCAGGGGCGGCGTTAGCTTTAGCTATTAAATTACACTTGATGCGATGTGGTCGGTGGAGGCTTCCGCCAGCCAACTTTTTCACGCAGCGATTAACTTACCAAGGCCAAGGTCTCTAGCTGAGCTTGAGACCAGTAAAGATTTACAATTAATTTTAAATATATTTATAACAATTATGACTAAAACCTATGTTTTTCTATCCCTATAGAACGTAAACTGTTTGTGGGAATGCTAAATAAGAAGCTGAACGAGAACGACGTTCGTAAGCTATTTGAAGTCCACGGAGCCATCGAAGAGTGCACCGTCCTCCGGGATCCAAACGGCCTGAGCAAAGGCTGTGCCTTCGTTACATTCGCCACCAAACACGCCGCCATTTCGGCCATTAAAGTGGTAAGTACTAGGATGAACACAAAAATAATAATAAATAATAACAAAATAGTAACAAAATAATGAACAAAAAATGTATTGAAAGATTTCCTCATCCCTACAGACTCTCAGCCAGACAAAGATCATGGAGGGCTGCACATCACCGCTGGTGGTCAAGTTCGCCGATACTCAAAAGGAGAAGGAACAGAAGAAAATTCAGCAGATTCAGGCAAATCTATGGAATTTGGCAACCAATATAAATATACCTTTGGGACAAACAGCTACCACCGTTACCACGCCCATTCTGCCCAATCCGCCGCAGCAGGCATCCCCAGTTTTGGGCGCCGATGCCATTACACCGGCATCCATACAACTTCTACAGCAATTGCAGGCCGTGGGATTGCAGCAACAGTTGCTGCAAGGTAAGAAATTGATTTTTTAATTATATTTTTATATATTTTAATAAATTTATATTTAAAGCACTGACTGGTTTGGGAGCCGCACAGCAGGGCAGCTCTTCGGCTGACACAAGTGCCGCAGCTGCCGCCGGTCTATTGACTCCAATGACCGTTCAAAATCTGGCTGCCATTGCGCATGACGCAGCCAAATCTCACAAATGCCGCAGCTGCAGCAGCCGCTGCCACATCACCGGGAAGTGCCCAATTGACCAACACTGCCGCTTTGCTCTGTAAGTATTTAAGTCAAATTTTAGGGGAAAATATATGGTCTAGTATAGTAATAATTCAAAGGGATATGTCTTATCCTTAGCCATCAGTTGGCTCAGCTAATTAACTAATTTTACTCCCATTTCCTTATTGAAGTCTCGTCGTTGTGCGTCACAGCCTGTTGCTGCTGTTTGCTTTCTTTTCCCCACAGTTTTCTTCGCTTTTCTTAGTTTTTCCTTTATCGATTTGTAATTATCTTGCGGGCACTCAAACATGTTATTGGTTGTTGTCCTGGTTATGGGCTTTAATGAGTGGCAAATGGTTATTGGGGTTGTAAGAAAGCTATTTAACATTAAGAGAATATTTTTAAGAGGCTGAGAATTAATTTCTTATTTAAAATGCTTTAATTATATATTCCCCTAAACTAATTACAAGTAAAAGCAAACAAATAAAGTAAAACGAATTCCTCCAAAAATATGATATCCTTCACATTAATATAATTTCCCTCTCGTAATTTCGTTCATCAATAATTGATGGAAACTTTCCACTCCAATAACCTTCACATTGCTTTTCTATTCTCGTTTCGGCTTCTCCGTTTGCCAAACAAATGTGTCATCATCTGACATTCAAAGTGCCCAATTAGCTTAATTTAGTGGACTCTCCTTATCGTCCTTCGTATTCTACCAATAGAACACCCTCCCTTTAGCCATTGCCCTCTGTTTTTCGTAGCAAATTACAATCATGGCCTTGTCAATCTTCATTGGGGAGGAAAAACTCGTAGGAAATCGACTTAAAATAGCCAAATAAGAATTTCCCTTCAATGGGATTGACGTCAGCGGCGTTCTATTCTAATTAACTGAACAAATTTATCCTTTTTGGGCAATTACACTAACTAGTATTTGTTGTATATTCTCTATATTTAAACAATGCTTACAATAATTATGTAAATAATTTTGGATGAAAGCAGGCCTTTTGAGAAAGAAGCCTGCGGCCAAGAAAAAAGGTGAGAAATATTTAAAATGATATTTTCAGAGGAATATTGTAGCTATTCAACAAGCTTTTTATTTTGTATATATATTTTCGTTCAATATTTTTAAGAAAATTAATTCCTTTTTCCTTTTTAGTTTTAAAAGAAATCATATTTTTACTATCTTGGTTGTTTGTGGATAGTTTAATTTTCTTTCACCTGCTTCACCTTGGTTTCCATTTCCTCATAAAGAAATGTGTGTGTGTTATTAAGTTTTGATAGTTAAAGTCAACGAAGCATTCGACGTAACGTTCACGTGCACCGTAACGCGCTTGTTTTACGTCGCCCGCTTTACGTCACCAGTCCGTAGAGACTTGATGGCCGTAAAGCTGGAGCAATGGAAAAAGGGGAGTCATTTTCCGGAGAAGAGGATACCGTACAACATACAAAATTACAAGTTACACTCTCTTGCGAAATTAACAACATGGAACTTATTGCAGCAGCACAAGGCAGTCCTCTGGAGAAGAAGGGGATTCCAGAAGGAGTTTATATATATAGGAGGAGGATATAGGAGTACCAGGACGAGAAAGGGTCGTTCTTTCGCTCCCCTTTTTGATGGTCCCATTGACTTTTTAGTTCTGAGAGGAAATGGTAATGTTTTCTGTTCATTTTCATGGTTTTTATTTCTCAATTTGTTGGTGAAAGTTGAAAGGGAAGTGGGAATAAAATAAATTCAATTATGATTAATATAAATATATACCTAAAAATCATATAGTGATATCTAAATAAAATATAAATAAAAGAAAATTATATCTTAAGTTAATCTCTATAAATTCATCTCAAAATCTTTTTAATTTCAAGAAAAAATCCAACTTGCTAAAACAATAAAACCTTACTAAGAAATCCAAACCAGCTAAGAAATTCCACTTGAATAAAATACTTGCGAAAGAAAAGAAAACAGGCCCAAAGGAAATGTCATTGCCTATCTGTGAACCACAATTTTCCGTCCTCCCCTTTTTCCACACTTTTTCTCTACTTAAATATTTTCTTAGCAAGTTCATTTCAAGAGAATCTTAGCAAGAAGTAGGCGAAGAAAAGCCATGGCCAAGTAAGTCGAAAAATCTGCGGCTGACTTAACCAGAAAAATGCCAAAAATTAAGCGGATTCTCTTCAATCCTCCTCCTGGACATGGCTTTCTCCTTCGGTCCAAGCTTATCTTGTGGGGATTTTCGTGAGTTTTGGCCCTTGTGCACTTGTGCGTGCTCATCGTGTGCCACTTGAACGATTTCCGGGCACTTCATTTAATGAAATATTAAAAATTCTTTGCCCTGGGAAAGGCCAAAGAGTGAGAGAGAGCAACGATTCGGACTCCAAGGAGATGTCCTCCGTCCACTGTTTTCCTTTCTGCTCTGAATTGAAAAAAGAAATTCAGTTCAAAAGTGCAGCTGACAGCGAGGACAGCAAGGATGCGCCTATCTCTGGGTGCTTTCTCGCTTTCCTTTTTATGTATCCAGCACTGTAAGGGTATATAGGAATGATAGGATTTAGGGAAAAAGAATAAAATTTTATCATTTATATCTTTCTATGGTATTATATTTTTACTAAGGTGCTCATAACATTGTGAAAGTCATTTTCGACCCTATAAATCATATATATTCTTGATCAGAATCAACAGGAGAATCGATTCAGTCTTGTCTGGTAAAAATTAAATTTTTTAAATTTTATTTCAAATGTTTACAAGGGGTTACAGCGTTAAAATTTAAAAAAATTGATAAAAATTGTAATTGTAATTTTTTAATAATTAAATTGAGGATGCAGATTTGTTAACCTAACTAAGTTTTCTTTCTTGTTTATTAATAATATTTCTAGGAATTCCTGTAACAAAACTTTTCCTTGAATGTTGAGTATAATGACAGTCGAGTTTTAATCTTGTGGCCTTCTCCCCCCCTCAATTTTCTTTCCAGCTTCCATAGAGAGGAAACCCAGTTCCCGTTTGGCATTTCCTTTTATTTTTTTTCTTTTACTGGACTCTCTTCTCTGATACATAAACTAAACTACAAAATCGCTTTTCAAGTTGCCACGAGTAACAAAACTTTTTGCACTGCAGCCTGGCCTTGTTGGTGTTGTTTTTTGGCTTTTGCCTGCCAAAATAAAATGGACAAACAAATTGAGCTCTCGACTTTGGAACCGCTTTGTTTGTTCGCTTTCCCCGAAAATTGTTTATGGAAAATGTATTGAAAGTAGGAGAAAAGGCATTGAGAAGTGGGAAAGGCAAAAAAAAACAAAACTAATTGTAGTGAGGCCAAAGCGAACAATGCAGGAGAATATGTACAAATTGGTGAGAGGATAACAATGGCATAGGATGTGGAAGTAATCCTAGGAATTCGTTTTAGATTAGACTTCGAAGCAGACGGAAAAACTATGGGGGAAAGCAATTAGCATATTGAAGAAGGGGGGAAAAATGATTGCATGCAAGAAATATATTTTCTCCCCTTTTGATTTCTTTTCTTAAATAACAAAACCTAAAATATGAAAATAGTGATTTTTCTTTTAACCTGCTTAGCTTCGCGTTTGTGATATTCCGCAAACACTCTTCAACGAAGCTCAAGTGCATCCAATTCAAAAAGTTTTTGCCCGTTTCGACCCTTTTTTTCTGTATTTTCTCAGAGTTGCTGTTGTGAGTAGCAACTGAAAACAAAAAGCCAAAAGAGTATTCTTGGCTCTGCAGGCCAGCCAAGAGCAACAAACGAAAATCTTAATCAAAGTTTTGTTCAAGTGCAGTAAACTATGTAGTTTATACTACCAACCTCGGGCCACGCCCCCTTCTTCGCGCCTTTCTCCATTTTCACAAGACGCTCCTCAAACTGATTTAGGGTTTCAACACGTTTTCAACTCGTTTCTTTTTGTTGTTTAGCCATTCCTTTCATCTCATTTTGTTTTTCTTTTCTAGCCAGCTCTCTCTCCATTACTTTTGTTTATACACTTTTTCGCTTTTTGCACTTCAAAATCAACAAAAGCAACAATAATACACACACACACACAGTGGGAAGAAGAAGTCTTTTGCCTGCAAATGGCAAATAAGGTGGTGGAGGAGGGAAGGAGTTAAGGGAAATTGTAAAATTTTTGTACTTGAACTCAAGGAACAAATTTTCAACTGTAAACTAAAAACTTGCAGATACAAAACAGACAGCATCCGGACCAGAAATAGTTTTAGGCAATGTTTTCGACTTTCTTCTTCATTCTTCAATTTGCCATTGTTTGCTGTTTTTACTGGCCGGGGCACTCATGTGGATTATTATTGGCCAACTTAGTTAGCCGGGTCTTGTTTCAAGCAGCTTGATGAGTGTGTGTATGTGTGTATGGTCTACTCTTTCCAAAATCCCTCCACTTTCTTGCTGACTTCTTGCTGCCATTCTTGGCAAAAAGTTTCAACAACAATTAAAACAAATTTTTGATGCAAATATGTGCAAAAGTTTTCGCCTATACGTTTTTGCCATATTTACACATGTATTTTATTTTGTATATCTATTTTTCTTTCATATTTTTAGTGTGTTAAATAAGGTAAAGTTTGTCTGTTAAATTGGTGATTTTACAAACGAACGAACAGAATTATTAGTCTTCAAAAAATGGGTTAATATTAAGTGTTATTTCTTCAATTCTACTAAACTTAAAATTTTCAGTACAAATTCAAATCATAAAACTGTCTTAATAAAAATATACTGATTAGGTTTAAAGGGTGGAAAATTAAAGATGTATCTAAAAGACTAAACGTATAATACCATTCTTTAAGTCAATATTTATTATATTTTATATGACATTTATCAATAAATCAAATTTTAAAAATTGCACAACTAAGCCAAAAATGCTTTAATTTCGATTCGATTCTTGCTATTTTATTATGGAAACAAAATGCATACTCAATTTAAAATGTTAGAAAATCACAATTTTTGTCGATTTTAATGAGTTACCCCTTATCGTTTTTTGCAAAAATCGGAAAAATGTTCGAATTTTTTTTCTAACCAGACATAGCTAGATCGATACAGCTGTTGATTCTGATCAATAATATATATAATTTATGGAGTCGGAAATGACTCCTTCACTGAGTTATAAGCTTCTGACTAAACACTATATTTAATTATAATTGTTAAAGAATAGAATGCATTTATATTTATATGAGAAATCTGACTCAATTATTTCCGTCTTATATATTTACTAAATTTTTTGCTATTAGAATCCTAATAATAATAACGTCAAAATGTTATATAGATAAAATTTAGATAGTAGCCCAATTTTTGCTTATTAAAACCAAGGGTAGTCTTGTTTTCCAATGCAGTCACATTGCTATAATTTCACACACATACACACTCTCCCATACACACAAAGGTTTGGAAAACTCATTAATAACGTCCGATCATGGATGATAAAGGGAAGGGAGCAGGGAGAAGGGAGTGTGGAGTGACTGCCAAAGTGGCGGTCAGAGGCGGATTGCTAACCACAAAATTGCATTGCATGACGGCCAATGGCGAAACACGCAAAACAACTAAATAACAAACAACAGGCGTCAAATTACACAAAACCCGAAACCAGAACACAACCAACACACACTCACACACACTCTGACATGCCAACAGAGACAAATTAATTTTAGATTCGCCGCCACTGTTGTTGTGTTTTGTGAGCTTGGCAAAATAATCAAATGTCGCCCCACGTCGCAGTGCACAAAATTCGATGATTAATTACGTCTGACGATAGGAAATGAAACCAACTAAATAATAATTATACAGTGCAATTGAGGTATAACTAAAGCGGGGAAAATTGCTTGAATTGGTGGCAGAAATGCTTATTTAATGAAAAGCTAGAAAATATTTGATTCGGTATTCAATTTTATATATAATTTATATCGACTCTTTTTAAAATGATGTGCAATATGATATATTTTATTACAACACATACTGTAAATAGATTTAAGAATTTCTTTTCTATTTAATTTAATATTATTTTCTTCTCTTTTTACCTTTCAAAAACCCAATTTTCTGTTATATAATTTCGACTCTGACAAAAATATATGTAAATTTACTTTACTAACTATATCCCTCTTCTCTCTCCCATATAATCTGGCATCTATATAGGGTCCGATCCAAATCCATTGGCATCGGCATATATGTCAACGGCCGCCGGTTTGCCGCAATTCGGGAACGCAAGTGCATTGTCCACCTCGCCACTGGCCAGCGTTGCCCTCAGTGCCGCAGCTGCCGCAGCTGCGGGCAAGCAGATTGAAGGTGAGTCACTATAATAAACATGCACTGAGAAAAACTGATTAGTATATTGTAAATTAAGAGATTTAAAATCGATTACTAGCTTATATCAAACTAATCCTTTACAAGTGTCTACAGGTCGTATACGTAATTTTGCAATAATTGAAATGGTAAAAGTTGAAAGAAAATGTTTTTAATAATAATTTTTTCAGTTTGTAAAGGTGAACGTTTAATATCCATTATTACATTATTTTAAACATTATAAATGAACATCCATTATAAATGTATACCCGTCGTATACGTAATTTGACAAATAATTGGGTTAACAAATGTTAAATAATAATAATAATAAGTTTCACTTTTTTAATTTAAGAAGTTGAATGTCGTATACGCAATGTTACGAAAAATTGGATAGTAAACAATTTAAAGATAGGTTTTATAATTCACTTTTTTTATTTTTAGTTGAAAAATAAGCTTCATTATAACAGTTTTTATTTAAATTATATAGACAGTTTTTTATTACCTTATTATAAATGTCTTCGGTCGTATCGCAAGTGACAAACTATTAAGATTTTATAGAAGATTTTTAACAACTTAACTAACTAAAAACTCTTATAAATGCTATAAAGTAGACAATTTTACATTATATTGCATATGTTTACCGTTCGGATAAAAAATTAAAGTTGTCAAAAATTTTAAGTTTATTCTACCCTTGCATTTTAGTCAAAGCTTGCAAATCATTGAAGAGTCATTTCCGACGCTATAAATCATATATATTCTTAACCAGCATTAAAAACTGAATTGATCTAGCTATCTTCGGATGAAAAGATATTTTTCAATATTTTCTAAATTTTATAAGGGGTTAAAATTTTTAAAATTGATAAAAATTTGAATTTTTAAAATTTTAAATGAGTATGCAGATTTATTAACGTGATAAAAACTAATATGGAATGCTTAAGTTTAATGCATTTTTGTCTTAGTTATGAGTTTTTTAAGAAATTGCGTAGACGACCAGTTGACATTTTGAAAATAGCTGATAAAAATTGTGTCAACTGGTCGTATACGTAGTTTGTCAACTAAATTTAATACAGATTTTATTTGAACTCACAAATAAATATTTAATAGCCAAAGTAAATATAATTTTTCTCCGTTACATGAGCATTTGCGAGGGTAATCAGAATGGGAAAATGGAGAAGGGAAAATGTTACTACACGCACACGTTAGGAATAGAAATGTCTAAATGGCTGACATTTTGATAAATGCAGCAAAATGCCCGAATGAATGCTGCTGCGGTTGTGTCACTCCAATACCAAATCGTTCGCTTTTGGCCTGGCTACTATTCTCTACTAAACATTGCATAAAGATGGCTTTTTAATACCCTAACTTTTAAAGGTTAAAAGGGTATTCGTTTTGAAGAAATATTTAAAGGGAGAAGCATAAGAAAATATGATAAATCTTTGATATAGGTTTAGCTAAAGGCTTTAAATATATTGATTCACTTGTACACTTGCTTAATTCGTTATAATTATTATATTGTTTATTACTTAATATTTTTTAATATCTTAAAGTATAGTGTATAGCAAACCCTTGATAATACCCTTTACTTACTGCCACATCTGCAATTGTATTTGTTTCTGCTGCTGATGCAACATCACATGCATTAACCCGCTCATTGCTGTCAGCGTCATTCGTTCGTTTCGTGATGCGGTTATTTTTTCGTCCTTTTTTTAACCTCCTTCACCTCCCGACTTACTGTGATCGTTGCTCCCGCATTATGTCCTCCCATTTTCCTAGCTCTCCCCCGCTTTTCGCGCAACTTTTCCCGAATCCCACTTGTCATGGACATTTTGTGTGGATGTGTGTCTAATCTACTTAGTTTTAGTTCTGCCATTGTTCCCACTGCTTTTATTATTATCCTGCCTCTGGCTTATTTTTTATATAACATATATAAAAAATCATCTATCAAATGTTATGCAGTTTGTTGGAGAAAACGTCAGTTGGACATTTTCATAACTCTAGAAATATGATTTAAGCAGAGCCTCAACAAATCAAAATCCCTCTAGAATTTCAATCTGTGTGTGTGTGTGTGTTGTGCCCCTCTAATCCGCAATCGAATGTCCTTTGCTGACACAAATCCTTCAATGCCATAAGCGCAAGCCAAGAAGCAAATTCCCTGTAGGAGATGTAGCAAAAATCAATAAGATCAATCATCCTGTACATTTCACTCCTGTCTCGGCAAGGACTCCGAGCTTCACATCTAGCACTTGCTAAGGAGAATTTATGAGGAGGAGCAGCATTTTGGTGGAGGGGCTTCAATTTTTATCAGCTCCCGACACAGCGTAAATATTACACACACACTTGACACACAATTCCATTAGTCAGACGTCGCTGTCGATATCGGGAAATATGGCAACTGAGCATTACTCCCTCCTATATGTTGTACTTTTGGCACACATAACATTAAAGTTGCAGCAAGGAGATATACGAAATGTTTCTGGAGGGGTTAAGGTTGAGGGGTGAAATAAGAACGAAGGAAAAAGGGGGTGAAAATGCAACGGAAAATGTTTTGGCATTGCACTTTTTGCTATATTTCCGGTTACATAAGCAAACATCCTTTGAGTGGATGTGAGTTGTAACACGGGAAAAAAGTCTAGCAGCTTTAGAGAGCATTATAATGGTATTATTAATTCAAAATGATTCTGAAGAATATATTTAAATTAAATACAAAGATTTTGTATTTAAATATATTTAAAGCTGTAAAGTTTTTCATAGTATTTTGTTATTTAAGATTTCTCACTCTGCATTTTATGCTCTCCATATAGTGAGATATATTTTTGCAGTTGAGTGACTCGCTCTCTAGCTCTCCTTTCGTCTTCACATCTGCTCCTGGCTTCGTTATCCTTTTGTGTGACTCCTTGTTTGCTCTGCTGACTCATGACGTCGCCGAAAATTCCCTCCTGACCAACAACTATCGAGGGGGCGGAGCCTAGAATCCAGGATCCTAGGAGTCTGTGTGGGTGGAAGCACAACAAATTGCTCTTGCTACTATATATAGTAGCCGAAATGCGAAATGTGAGCTGCCATGTTTCGCCTCGCTTGGCTGGATTGTGAAAAACTATCATAGATGACTTAGACTTGCTCAAATGGAAGTTGACCTGAAGAAGAAAAGCTGAGGAAAAGCGCAGGGGAAAGCTAAGCTCTATGTAATTATTGGGATGAGATAAGGAAAGATTACACGCCGAATGGTAGGGGAAGTTGTTAATGGATAATTGACTGTGATTTGAAACAGTTTAAATTTTTATTTTTCTGGTTTTTGTGTTATTTTTTCAATGGGATTTGTATACTTCTTAAAAAAGGTATACCAAATTTAAAGTCTCATAAGATTATTATTAGTTTATTTCCTATTATACGAATTTTCTTTTACATTCGAGTTGCTTTAACTTCAATGAACATCAAGCCTATTATCCAGTTTATAAAAGCTTGACTAGATATCCTCTTGCCTTTTGCTTTCCTTTTTCTATTTACTTTTCCTAACTTTTCCTTTATTTGAAAATCCCATCGAAGTCTTGTCACAGGGGGGGAAAAATATGCTTGAGACAATCCTAAAAATTCCAGATTTATGCAATCTCTGTGTGGAAAGAAAGAAATGGCTGCAGCAAACACAATGCACACACTACACACACTGTTGTAAGGCAGATAAATTCTCAACATGTGAAATTTATCAAATGACGACAAGCCGCACAACAACACACACAGAAAGAGTGGGAAAGAAGGCAGGGATAGTGGGCGATATACAGAGCAGAACCATAAAGGGACTGAGAGAGCAGGAAACAACTTATAAGCATGTAGACAGGACCAGACGACAGGCACGAAATTAAGCAGGAAATAGAAGCAAAAGCTGAGCAAAAAATAAAATAAAAATAAATATAATAATACGACAAAAATCTCGGAAAAAAAATATAAGAAATAAATGAGAGGCGAGGCCCAGAACTATCTGCAGTAAATATAACGCTTTAAAGGATCTCTCACAGAAGGGGAAAGAGGAAATACCATCCCACCAGAGAAAGGGACGGAAGGAAGGCGAGGGCAAATATGACAGTGACAGACGATCCGGGGAATCCCCCGCTTTCAGAATCGCTTGGGTGACCCTAAGGCGGCAGCGGTCGCTTCTCCTTCCGGCTGTGCAGCCGGATTAAAGTCATGTGCATAAGCCGGAAGTTGGAATATAAAATAACCAAATGTGTGCGGCTGCCGAAGGGAAGAGGCTGTGGAGGAGGAGAATCCCTGCTACTGCAAGGAGACATCGGCCGAGAGGAAGTCGAAAGATTTGCGACTTATGCTCCGGGGAGAGTGGGTGCAATTGTGAATGCGGAACCGAGGCGAGTTGCAATCCGGTTGCCAAGCGAGTGATTATGAAAAGGGCAACACTGTATGACACTGGGAAAAAAATACACAAAGTTTAGGAAAGCTTCGAAAAAGAACATTCACAATTTGTTTTTAATTGAATATTATGTTTGATTAACAAACAAAACTAGAATAAATTAGATGGGAAAATTAGATAAGGAAAGTTTATATACCTGAATTTGAATTATAGGATCGTCTTGAAAATCGATCTTAACTAAGCTTATTCACTTTTTGGACCGGTATTTATCGATATTTTAATATGAAATTTTAAAGGCAATTTAAAAATTAAAAATCTCATAACTAAGCCAAAAAAGCGTTAATTTCATCTCGAAACCCGTTCTTATGTTAATTTTAAGCAGGTTAATAAAACTGCATACTCCATTAAAAATGTGCTTTTTTTTTTACCGATTTTTGAAAATTTTACCCCATAACTAAGCCAAAAATGCATTGATTTCAATTCGGAAAGCATTCCTATGTTAGTTTTTAGCAGGTTAACAAAGCTGCATACTTCATTAAAAATGTGAATTTTTGTCAGATTTTTGCAAATTTTAGTGATGTAACCCCTTTCCTTTTTTTCCAAAAATAGGAAATTACTGAAAAAAAATTTTTTTTCCGGATATAGCTAAAAAGATTCGCTTGTAGATGCTGA